GCCTGAGTCCAGGCCTAAAACCGGGGCCCTCCCCTCCCTGAGGCCACCGATCTGGGACTGAGCAAGTGCTCGGCTTCACAGCACTGCTCAGGGTTTCCAGGGCCGAGGGTCAGAGCAAGGCCCACTTCTGTGGGGACCCTGTATGTTCTGCAGTGAACTCACTCGTCCCTCAGGGTGATCACCTTGATTCTTAGCAGGATCTGGTCCTCCTCTCTCCGTGGACCGGATATGGCTTCCGGGGATGGGCTGACGTCGTCCTCACAGACCAAGGTCCTCACCTTCCTGAGAGCTCTGAGACAAAATGAGATGAAGCCACAACTGCTTCCCCCTCCACGGCCCCAGGGTCACCCAGGACCAACTGCATGCTGGCCCATCTTTCCTCGGGTACGACGTCTCTTTAGTCTGACATCCAGAGACTTGTTTTTATTCCTGGCTAGGCCTGGGCCAACCCCCTGCTGACCTATTTCTTCCTTAATGAGAACACCTCACAAGAAGCATGTGGCAGAAGGGAGAGCATGTCACATCCAGATACCCCTGCCTGGGACCTCTCAGGATGAGGATGAGGATTCCCAGATGCTCTGTAGTCTCAATGTTTCGCAGAGATCAAGTAGCTGCAGTTCTCCCTAAGTAAATGTTCAGACCCTTCCAAAAGTGGCAAATCCTCAACTTCTCTTTTCATGACTTGAACTCATCCCTTCTGACCAAGCCCCTCACCTTCCTGAGGACCCTGGGAATGTGATGGGAAGCCACCTCTGCACACCCAGGGCTCAAAGCAGCACAGAGCAGGTTTCAGTGGGGCTTCCTTGGTCTGGGGTTGTAGTAACCTCGGTCCACCCCAAGCTATCCCTGTTACTCACACAGGGCCTGGGCCCTTTCCCTTCTGCTGCCCTGAGGATGCAGAGTGGAGGCAAAGGCATCATGTTGCTGAGACTCTCACACAATGAGGAAGTTTTTCTTCCTGACATCCTGTGAGTCCTCTCAGTGCTGAGTGCAAGGCTTTTCTGGCATATTCGGGAGGAGTGAGCGTTTCTGTCTAGTGTGGAACTCCTAGTCTCACCTTGAAGTCTGTAGGGCATTGGACTCCGCCCCCTGGTGAACGACCTGCACCCCTCAGACCAAGGCCCTCATCTCACTGAGACCTGCGAGGTGGATTTCAAGACAGTCACTTCTGCTACTGCGCCCTGAGAATCCTACCAGTGCCAGCAGGGCCTGAGTCCACTGCTCCGTTGTTGCCTGGGTGGGAGGGGCCCTCAGACCTGCCTCAAGGCCCACACTGTGATTACTGGCAGGGCCCACGACCCCTTCCATTTGCTGCGCTGCTTCCAGCTCCATTAGGCCAATGCCCTGCCTACCTTAGACATCCCTCAGGCAGAGGTCTAGAAACAGCCCAAAGCCACAGCCCCTCCCTGAGGCAGGGACAGGGCACTGTGGGACCCTTCAATGTGTGCTGGGGACCTCCACCGTCCTACCTCGCGTACTCACCTTGGGTCCTCGCAGAACCTGGACCCACTTCCTCTGCTTACCTGGAGCTTGACACCTCCTATCTTTGGTGCCCGAGTCCCCTTAATATTCCTCAGGGTCCTCACCTCGATTCCCACCTGGACCTGGGCCCTCCGCTTTCCCAACCTGAGTCTTTGCTCCTTTTTCCAAAACCTTGGTCTCTCTCAGAACTGGATGCCCAAGTCAGGAAACAACCGCTGTGGTCCTCTGGCCCCGTGCCCCACCCCCCCAGGGCTCCAGCAGGGGCCAGTTTATGTGGGGTCCTCGCTCTTGTGAGGTTCAGGGTCCTTCGGTCCTCCCTTTGCATCCTACCTTGACACCCAGCAGCACCGGGGACTTCCCCTCTGCCGCATATGGTCATCCCGTCCCCGGAAGTCCCGGGGCTGACAGTAGGTTCTGGCTTCTCTGGAGTCCCCACTCTTACGGTCACTTGCCATAGGGCCTCCCAAGGCTAAAAGCCGAACAGGTTTCCGTGGGGACCCCTCTGTTTCAGAGTCCTGGATCCCCTCAGTCCTCTCTCAGGAGCCTCGCTTTGACTCTGGCAAGTCTTGAGCTTTCCCTCTCTGGACCCGAGGCCTGCCTGGTCCTTACAGCGAGCCCCTAAAGCCTCTCGGACCCAGATGCAGAATTCAGGGAATGCCACTCTTGGTCATCCCACCGTGAGACCTGCCAGAATTAACTTTGTTCTGGGGTCGAGGGTGTCTCAGTCTCCCTCGGGGTCCTCGCCTAGACTCACGGC